CGTGGTGCGTGAGCAGGGGACCAGGGGCGGGCCAGGCCGCCTCAGCAGAGTGACACACTTCCCCATGGTGGGGGCATGGCAGGGGTGACATCCCCTCCCGCAGTCCCAGATATGCTGCTGCCCCTCTGACTGAGTGGGCTTCTCTGCCGCAGGGCTGTACGTGCTGGTGGGCGCCGGGGCGCTGATGATGATGGTCGGGTTCTTCGGGTGCTGCGGAGCCGTGCGGGAGTCCCAGTGCCTGCTCGGAGCGGTACGTAGCGTGGCTCCTCCATCCAGAGCTCCTGGGGTGCAGCCGGTGGGCCGCCCTGCCCCTCCAAGTGGCCACCATCCCCGAGCCCCGGAGGAAACTACTTCCCTGCTGCGGCAGGCTTCCCTGGGCCTGTGCTGCTCCCTGCTCCACCTCTCCTGCCCTCCGTCTCCCGGCAGATCCTGGCCTCTGCCCCCAGTGCCCTTCCGTCCCCGTCTGGCCAGCGCTGCCTGGGGGAGGGCAGGGATGGTGGTGTGCGTGGCGGGCACGGTGGGGCGCAACTCAGTGTGCTCTTCCTCCCCTCCAGTTCTTTGCCTGCTTGCTGGTGATCTTTGCTGCCGAAGTCACGTCCGGTGTGTTCGCCTTCCTAGGCAAGAACGTGGTGAGTGAGGAGCAGGGCTGGGCTCCTGCTGCTGGCTGAGGTGGGGATCTCACACAGTCGTGCATGGGGGAGGTTTTCCACTGCGGAGGGACTGCTCTGTGGCCCCCGGTCTGGAGCCGCGGAGGGGTCACACTCTCACGAGCGCCAGAAGCTGGGCTTCAAATGATGCATCGTCTCCACTCCCGGAGCTGAGTAGGGAATGTGCAGTGCAAGCTGCCTGCATGCGCGGGTACTGTCCGCACTGGGACGGCTGCCGGGGCAGAGCACCGCATGGGGGAGCCACGCGCACGCCCGCGCCGTGACCCACCGAGGGAGCACCGGGCCCCAGCAGGGCATGCATATGCTGTGGCTACGCCAGCCCTCTCGTGCTGCCCCTCCACCGGGCAGGGGTCACTGGTGATTCTGGAGGCGGGAGTTTGTCTTGTTGGGGGTGAGATGTGATGAGCGCCCCTGTGCCTCTGAGTGTGTGTTCGTGTGCAGGCAATACAAGAAGTCCAGGCCATCTACAAAGATGCTTATGACGCCTACATGAAGAACCCAGGAGAGAAAAACAGAACTCTCCAGCTCCTGCACTCGTCTGTGAGTACCCACGTGAGCGCGAGGATGCGTGCTGCGTACTGGCGGGACCGTGCCCCGAGTGCTGAAGGCGCTGGGCTGGCAGGCAGGCGACAGGCCCCTCTCCCAGGAGAGCACTGGCGACTAGTTAGAGGTAGCCTGGTGCTGCAGATGCCTCAGCCTGACGATGCCGAGACCTCAGGCCAAAGCCCCGGGCCCCGGCTCTGAGCAGCAGAAGCAGAGCGGTGCAGCGCTGCGCCCCCACGAGGCAGGCTGTCAGCGCTTTCAGGGTGACCGGGTCCTCTCCTGGTAGGGCCTAGCGCGCAGGGGTGACGATCTTCCCAGAAGCTCTGCTGACACAGCAGCCCCAAGGGTTGGTTCTTTCGCTGCCCCGCCACACTGGGAGAGCAAACGGGGGGAACGTGCGGGATGTGACTTGTCCGGGGCCACACAGAGGCTGTGGTCGAGGCCGCCACTCGCAGCTCCGGGCACCTCCCACATAGAGCCGAACCGGGCCCGCCCCCCC